CAGGTTTTGGGAACTGGACCATTCATTGATTTCAAAGATTAAAGGTGTATGGGAGGATTTTCCTAAATTTTAAGAAAGAAACTCCCTCTCCACTTTTTGAACAAAACCCTCTGGTCTTATTTGACGAGCACGTAGAATGATTGACACTTGGGGGAACCAATCGTCTTGATGATTCACCTCGAAGTATTGAGTCCTCCTACAGTATTTACCTTTAAGGAGAAACATTGGCCATGCAGAGAACACAGACAAAACCACAGTAACGCACAGTTTGATCCTTCCTTTTCAGCTTTAGAACAAGCTACCACTTAACATAAGGGTTTAGTCTATTCATTTAATCTATTCACAGGACTTTATTTTTTTATCTTAATCAACTTTTCAGTGCGGGCTACTTAGATTGAGTTGCTGACAACCCTGACTCGTGGCGCTTGACTTGGAGGGCCCTCATCTTGCATTAGTCCCATCTCCGCACTATCACAGTGTGTAGCTGTTGTCTCTGAACTCAATCACAATCAATGGAGCCGATTGCTTTATGACTCATGGCACGGATTTGACTCTAAACTCGCGAAAGGCATAGAGAAAAATCTTTGTTAAAGTACGGAAAATGTTTCCCTTCGTTTCATCCTTGAACCAACATGTAGCTCTGAGAAATGTTCAAATGCATTCAAACGGCTCTCATAATGGCTTTAAAAAAAAAAAAATTAACAAATGCATGTGACTATACAACCCTCGCCTCCATTGTATGTGTGTTGCTAATGCTGTTTAGAAGCACTTATAAAGGTTCTATAGGGGATCTTGTGAATCCTCTTTGCATAAACAAGGCTAGATTAAATGTGTTGAATCATTGGCCAAATAAGCCTCATACAAACGCCACTTTAAATATTGTGCAAGTTGACAGCGGACCATGACTCAGCAAAATCCGCTGCAGATTCTCGTTCCCTAAAGGACCCCAGATTGGCACGCTGACAAGTTTAGCACAAAAAAAAAGGGCTCCGCTGAGACCAATGAGCGCGCAAGTCTAGTCCCGGCTAAGCTCCTCACACAGAATAGTACAGTAAATGAGAAAATCAATTAGAAGTTTCAAAGAGGTGCACTGCGAAGGACTACGAGAGTGAGTGCAAATGACTAGAATTCAGAATAACTTTAATGCAGTTGCGGTAAGTTTTTTCATTAAGTTGTTTTGGGCTGGTTTTAAACATCGCTGAGAATTACTGAGAGCTTGGGCCCCTACTGTGTTTGGGTCTTTTGGGAATCACTTGCTCTAAAGACATCGGGCATTTGTCGTAATAGTTTTAGAGAAGCAATATGTAAGATTTTCTTGTCAAGTCATCATTAAAGGGCTCTAATCTGTCCAAAGTCATTAATAAACCATGCTTTGTTTGAATACTTCTTTAACTGATAACAATATTTAAAGTAGTTAAAATAGTTCAAATTAGTTTCACAGCCCCTAAATCTTGTTTTTGTTTTCATTTTGATGTCCTGCCCTCCACCATTTCACTAATCAGAAATACCGTGATCCGGGTTGCCAGAACTCACCGTGCCAAGCTAATCTCACTGGTAAAGTACCATGTGGCGCAGAACTAAAAAGGTCTTGTTATGATTCTCAAATCATTAACGGCAAAACAAGGAATAAAACAAGGATGACTATCTTTGTGAAAAAAGGTGTTGGTTATAGATTTGTTGTTGACTTGTCTCTTCAGCTGTTATGGTCCCTGCTGGATTCGTCGGCATATCTGGCAACCTGAGTCAGGCAGAGTGGAAGAGGTTGCAGTACCACTTTTGACCAGATTTTTTACATACTTCTCCTTTAACGTCTTTTAAATCTACCAACTATAAACAGTTTAGAGATAGATGAATGCATCACCCAAAAAGTTTGCCTTAATATTAATGGAATCTGATTAGCGCTAACTCAACCAGACTCCAAAGGCAAAAAACTGGAGCCAAATTCATAGATAGTGACTACCTAGCAACCAGAGAGCCAATCAGGAGTGGCGCTGGGATGTTAGTGCTTGCTCTATTTGCAAGCCTTCGCCGAAAGCAGGGTTAGAAGGCTCCGGATTTGTCAGATGTTAGGAGGGTCATATCTGGATTTACAAAGACATTATCATAGAGAGAACTCAACGAAATTGGGTTGTGTGACACTTACGGTTATTGGGTGCAGGAATTTTATTATTTTCTATGACAGTGAAAGCCAAAGCAAGTAGGAGCACCTTTTTTCGGGGCTTCCAAGAGCTAGCAGGTTAGAAATGTCCAATCATATAGAGATATCGTCTACATTATCATTCACCTCATAAAACCTATTATAGTTTGTTGCAGAAAACTGTAAAAAGTAGAACCTTTCCTCATTATTGAGACTTAAAAGGGTCATAACAATTATCCATGTGTGTCTCTTACAACTATAAAGCAGACTAAAGCACAACACCAGAGAAAAAGAATGACAATTTGACAAAAATCTCTACCATGTCAAAATTCAATATCCTGAATTTCAGTCATTTCAATGCGGCATTTTTTTTGCAGTGTGGGCTTAGTTTAGCCATGTAACGTCAAGAAAGCATAAAGTATACGCACATGCAGTCTCGTAGATGGTTTCACTGGCGTCGGGGGCATGCATTTCTTATGAGAGAGAGCACAAGATAGACATCAACACAAAATGGATGTACACAGTAAACCGTGCACATGCAGATGGAGGACTGCGAGAATACAGGTGAATTAGCCACAGGAAGACAATATCGGTGACATACTGTGGTTGAAAAGGTGGTTGGGCTGCTGTTGTAGGTGTACCTAAATGGTAGAAAGAAGGCTGCTTTTCTCACTGGTGGCTGGACATAGGTCGAGAGGCTAAAAGGAATCAGGAGGCGCTACAGTGCTTGTAGAGATTCATTCTGCTTTTGCTTGCCAATAAGCATAGACGGTAAAATTGTGGACACAAAACAGTTGCTGTGGACATTCTTCTTCTAATTCATGGTGGAATAGTTGGACATTTTAAGGACGTTTATCTCTGTTTCTTTCTTCTTGATGTATTGCTCATGGCATTATGGTTTGACACCTAAGTTACAAAACAAATCCTGCAACAAAGGAAGGGACATTTTCAAATATGCACCAAGTTTAGAAATTATTCTGTGGCTTCCATTTAGCAAAAAAGTGAAGATATTTTACATTGACGGGTATTTGACACAGAACTTAAATCTGTACCTGTGTAAAATTCTAAAATCTACCATTTTTGTGCCGACCGTGGTCTGGTTCTCTGCCAAATCCAGTGTTTGTTTATCTTTTTACACAATAGATCCGCCGTCATTGCTCCTAAAGTTGTATTCATACTGCCAGAGGTGATAGTTTACTTCCCTGGTAGTGATGTGATTATTTTGGCTTAATGATAACACATAGACCTTTTTCCCACTCGTTATTGTTGGTTGTGTGTAGCCATATATCCAGGGGTGCACATAACTTTTTCAGTGAGGTTCTCAGATGAGTACCAGGAGATGGTGTTTGGTATTCACTCCATTTGTCGCGTGGTTCCTAATCAAGATTTTACACTTGCATCTTTTTAATGCTAAAGTTTAGATCAGCTCAGATAATCCACTCAATCCAAGTCAAATAATGACTCACAGGGCTCTTTCCAAAAAATGCAAAACAAACAAAACATCAAAACAATGTTCTGTTTGATTCATTATGCATCATTAATGCAAGGGAAAATGTAGGTACCACAGCTTTAATGTAGAGACACGAGGAGGTCATGGACACTCCCTTAAGGCTCCATAGTCCAGCTCTGTTTCTTGCAGTAACGCAATATCTATTTATTTATTTTGTATTACGCAAAGACACACACTTGCAACAAGCAGAGAATGGTTCTGGGTACATTATGACCACGTTTGGCTACGTGCTCGCCGCGTTGTTGTCAAGGAGACGCTGTTGTTATAAAGCGGCCTGAGTGGCTCTGGAGTAGGAACGCTGCTGCCACGGAGGATTTGGAATCCCTGCGATCACGCACACCCTCTCGGGCATTGCACCACGTCCCCCTAGGGAGGAGCGCCCCACGATTTGAGAAGGTCTGGTCTATGTGAAGACCAAAGTCGCTTACTAACTCATGTGGTAGTACGCATTTATGATATTTGTCGCACATGCGTATCTGCGTACCACTTTTGTGCACCCCTGCATATATTGTCAAAAAAAAGTGCATTCTATTTTCAAATAATGACATTAAAGATCAATGTGTAATTCACATGTGCAGTTTATGACAATTTTCCTCTGGAATTTACAGGATAGAGATGGTTTTTTTCCAAGACAAATTAGTTATATAGATAGGGAATACATGCTTTTGAGAACTGGGGAATAGAAACTTCTGATTATCTGTTATTATCAGCATCATTTGATAAAAGAAAACACATTTAATTCAAAGTAAATTACTTCACACAACCTCTTAACAATGAATGAAAACATTGTGTTATTGTTTATAATCTCTGAAATATGTCACTCCTCTCAAAGCAAATAATAAAAACAATCATTTTGGTATTTTTAGTATGTGACCTATTTTCAACTTTAAATTTTCAAAAATCAATCCAGCGTTATTTGTTCTTAAATTGAGTTTTGTAACGACCAGGTAATTGTCTTTCTAATGAGTGGTCCTCTACTCTATCCAACACTATTGTTCAAAATGGCAGCTAAATCTTTAACTGTTGGTAAAGGGATTTAAACATTTGATTAACAACCTTTTCCTGTCGCGTTACTAAAACCACCACCGTACGAGCCGCATCAATCTCTAAGACGAACTTTGAAAATGTTTTTGTCCACAGCTTTTACAGTTTATGTCACTTCATCGGGCATCACATTTTGATTCCAACTTCATTGCGTTGCCAATCCAAACTCTCTGTATCATCAATTTGTGTTTGGCAGTGCCCCCCAGGTCACGATACACCCACAGCAGATGGTCCCCTCTGCAAGCATGGATGGCCCGGTGACTGACAAAAGCACTTGTAGTAAAAGATTCTAAAACCATTGGCACTTACAGATAGGCCGCCTTCCCCTCCTCCATCTCCTTGCCCTTGGCCCCGGTGGCGGTCTTCTTGCCGCAGACGGTCCGCGTGATGCACATGAGCAGACCGCAGTGCCGCAGGAAGAAGCAGGTGACGTCCACCAGCACCAGCAGCAGCAGCAGGGCCCCCAGTCCCAGCGCCACCACGGCCCCCAGACCCAGGCCGCTGAACAGGGATTCTGCTAAGGCCAGCCAACGGGAAGAAAGAGGAGGGGGAGAGAGGGGGAGATAAAATACTGTTAGCAAAACTGGAGGGTGTGAAAGAGAAAGCAGATTTTTCAGAATGCCCACAGTATAACATGTTAATATTTGTTTGAGAGGTTTCCCCGATTCCACGTTAGGTTCAGTTTCATATTTATTACTTTTGCAAACACAAAAAGCACCATTAACAGGAAACGCGCGGCTCAGCTAATGGCATGACACAGACATCACCGCACTGAGCTTTGCCAAAACAAACTTTGGTCCTAAAGACTCCCTAATGACAGTACATCAGGACATTCAACAGCTTTATATAGACTCCAGTTATAACAGTGTGGAATATCCCTTGTTTGTATTTGGGAAAGTAAAGAAAATGCATCAATAAAATGATAGTTGCCATGTCCTGCATGTGGAAACCTGATCCGGCCATTAAGGCTAAGCAGCACAGGGCTTGGTTTGTACTGTGATGGGATCCCTCTGGGAACACTAGGCGCCACAGAAAGATGTGTTGTTGCGTCCTTAGACAAGACACATTGCGAGAATGAGTGTGGTCTGGGTGTGTGCAAGGTTGGTGGTGGTCAGAGGGGCAGATGGCACAGAATCTAGCCTGTCGTTCTGCCTCAGTGCAGCTGTGGCCACTGCAGTACACCACAGCTGTTTGGAGTACACACAACGCCATGTAAAGAGTCATGAAAAGCCATAACTACAGTAAATACTATGCATTAAAGCACAGATTTACTGCACTTTTAAGCCAACTGAGCTCCATAGGCCAGATTCCTTCGTTCATTGCCAAGTGGAATTTAAGCATTGGCTAAGTGAGAACATTTTGCAGCTGAATACAGACAAGACCGAAACACTAGTTATTGCCCCTGATGATTTAAATCCAGGGATCTTACAATACTTGGGTGATGTAGGACAGTCTGTTAAACCAAGCCTTAGAAATCTGGGTGTTATTTTTGACAAGGGTCGCAGAGAACATTCATATTTTTAAAGCCAGGCTCAAGACACACCTTTTTAGATTAGCTTTTGATTAGTATTTATTAGTCCATTTTTATATATTCTATTTATCTTTTATTATTTATTATATTGCTATTGCTTTTATTCATGTTTTGTGTGATAGTTCCTTTCAGGCTCACATTTTAGTGTTTTACTTATTGTATTGTTTTTAGTATCCCCAGTGTGTCCTCTGGAGGAGCCCTCTGCGCTGGGAGCGGTGGTTGGCTGTGGCTGTGGGGGTCGGACTCTTGGACCTGGTGGGGGCCCGGGGCCTCGGTTTTGGGTCTCCTCTGGGTCCTGTGTCGTCCCCTTTGGCTCTCTGCTCCTGGCGCTGACGGCTCCTTGGATGGCGTTTCTTCAGCCGGTTGCATCTGAACCCTGCCAAGTCTCTTATCATCGTTTTATTGTTTTATCGGTGCGTGTGTGTGTGGGTGTGTGTGTGTGTGTGGGGGGGGGGGGGGGGGGGGTGTTTGCTTGTGGTCTGGGGAGGGTCTGTTGGGCGGTCGGGGGGAGGGCATGGGCAGGATTGTTTTTTAGCCAAACTGTAAAGCACTTTGTGTTGCATCTGTTGTATGAAAAGCACTTTATAAATAAACTTTGATTGATTGATTGATTGAAGGATATATCGCTAGTTCAACCCTGCAAACAGCTGACCAAAAACTGCTTTTTTGAACTGAGAAACATCTCCAAATTTAAGAAAATTGTGTCACAGAACGACTTGGAGCTTCTAATTCATACCTTTGTGTCTTCTCGTTTAGATGACTGTAACAGTGTGTTTTCATGTCTGAACAATAAGGAGCATAACTCTGCAGCTCGGGTTCTCACGTGCACAAACAAGAGGATTCACATACAGTATCCTCGGTCCTCAAAGCTCTCCACTGGCTGCCGGTGTCCTACAGGATATATTTTAAAATAATGGTGCTGACGTTCAGAGCTCTGCATGGTCAGGCTCCCCTTTATTTCAGATCTGATTCAGCCTTATACCCCCACTCGGACCCTGAGGTCTGTGGATCAGCCCCTGTTGATGGTCCCACACACGCTCTTTCGGACCAGGGGAGACCGGTCCTTCCTGTTGCGCCTAAGGTCTGGAACAATCTTCCGCTCCCTCTGCGGCTGATGGAGTCGGTTGATTCATTCAAGGTCAGCTAAAAACCTATTTATTTGGACAAGCTTTTACATAATTTTCTTGCAGCCGTTTCAAACCTGTCACTGAGTTGTCTTGGCTCATTGTATTTTAGCTTGTGTTTTGTCTGTTTTTACCTGTTTTTACTGTGACGCGCTTTGGGGCCATGGTCTGTAAAAGGCTCTGTATAAATAAAGCTTTATTACTTACTTTCAGCTATTGATTTGAAACAATTAGTATTAGTTTTTATCCTAAATAGATAGAAATTACCAATTATGTGACTTTTATTTGTAAATAACATTATTTTCTTCTACAAAACAGTTGTATTGTATTGTGTTGCTGCATCTCCTCCTCCCAGAAATGTATAAATCCTTATTTTGTACATATTTTCCTATATATAAATCTGACATTTTCAGAGGTCATTTGGTCGTGAGGGTGGCCAGACGTTCGAACTCACAAAGACACTTCATTGATTGTGCTCAAGTCAAGTGCTTCTATCTTGGGAGGGCAAAGAATTGACTTTACGGCAACATTTAAAGAGGACTGACAAGTTCACACTCTGTCTTTTCAGTTCACTCCATGCTCTTAATGCCAGGAGCAAAACAGACCGCACCAAATCTGTCTGCAGCTTCCACCCAAAAACAGTACGTAGCAAAATATTCTCATTCAATTCAAACGCTGTGGTTATTTTTCTGGCCAGTTGTTTCACTTTTCTGCTGTTCGTTCTTGACCACCAAACTTTTCCAAACGCAGTTGAACTTCTGAAGGGCAGCGAGAAACCCTGGCCTCTGTCCAAGAGTTAGATAAGTCCTAATCCACCACCACCTCAGCTCCACTCTCTCCCCAGTGGAAGAACTCAATTAGAATCAGGCTCCAAAACAGATCAATTTCTACCGCGCTTCTCTCTCGATAATGCCAAAAGGTGAAGGTGTTTATTTTGACAACAAATTCATTCACTATGTATTTTATATTGAGGCACAGATTTGATTTTGAGAAGCAGTGAACCAGCTGAGAATAGGTCCACACAAATGGTTGACTCGTCGGACTTCTCACTCAATGGGGGAAAATAGCGTGAGCGATTGGCAGTGAATCAATCTTGTTTTGCCGGATTGATACTGAGTAGGATTACCTCACTACCTCACCAGTGGGGTAAGACTGCACCCTGTCCCATGATGGAAGAGGAGGCTGTAATCTGTGCAAGTACTGTAAAGGGTATTCGTCAGGAGTGAGGTAGAAGAAAGCACTGGACACTTCCTGCTAATACAAACTCACAATAAGTTTGGTATATTTGTGTTTTTGGGTGACATATATGATAATAATAATGCATCGGTTTTATATAGCGCTTTTCAGGACACTCAAAGATGCTTCACACGTCATTTTTCATCCTCTCCATACATAGCGGTGATAAACTACTACTTTAGCCACAGCTGCCCTAGGGCGCACTGACAGAAGCGAGGCAACAAGTATGTGGTATTGGCCCCTCTGACCGCCACCACCCATTCACACACACACACCAGACTCATTCTAGGCAGTGTAGGTGAAGTGTCTTGCCTAAGGACACAACAACAGCCGCCCCACTGTCCCACTGCCATCACAGTACTAACCAAGCCCTGCCCTGCACAGCTTCAGAGCAGTTCAGCCACTTATGAATGAAGAAAGTACATGCAATAGTACAAGATTATGAAAGTAGGGCATCCAACACACGGATGTCCAAACTTTTTAGTTAGAGGGCCACTTTAGTTCATCAGACTTGACCTGGGGCCGACAGCCTGGATTGACTGGATTCCGGTTATGAAAATGGGTAATTAGACGTCCTTATTGATTCACACCACAATCATAAAGCAATTACAGTATATAACAATAGTCTTATTATTTCTGATTAACTCTTACTTTTTTTTTTTTATTTTTTTTTTATTTTCTTGCGGCAATCTCCAGGGTTTTTTATGTTTGTGTGTCTATGTGTTTGTTTGTTGATGATTAAAAAATCATAAATAAATGATTGGAAAAAAAAAACAATAGAGTCTGATATTTATAATAAGGTATAGCTAGACTGTATTGGTGGAGCTGAAGTTGGTTGGATGACATTGTCAAAGTGCCTCAATGGTAACTTTGAGTTAGCAGCAGAGGGCCACATAAAATGGCACAGATGGCCGCAATTGGCTCTCGGGCCTGAGTTTTGACATGCCTGATCTAACACGTATTGGAATCCTAAAATGAAAATGAACCGTAATGGCATAACACACTAATAAATGCCAATTTATAATCTATATAATCTATAATCTTGCACATACAGAAACAGGTAAAGTTTGAACCAAGAGGATTTCAGCATATTTATAATTGTCGTGTGGCGCTACCTGCATGTGAAAGCCAGATACCAGTCAGACCTCTGTAGACATGGCCTGGTTAGTACAGTGATGGGAGACCTATGGAACACCAGATGCCACAATATCATTCATATTATTATTATTATTATTATTATTATTATTATTATTATTATTATCATCTATATAGAATATTCGTCCATATAAAGATGTTTACATTGTGTCTGGGTCATTATGACATTGTAATTACAAACAAGACAATTTCAATTCTAACATTTCTTAAGCAAATTTGATTTAAGGATTTAAGGATTTTTTGGTGGCATTTACAGGTGGTGATTTTATTTTGAGAACTATGCTCTTACTAATTTTTCTTTTTCCAAGTACTGGAGCTGAATGCCCCTGTGCTTAGTCCAACTCCTCTGACCACAGGACACCACTCATGTCTCTAAAGCAGCGCTCTGAGTTTACTTTTGTAGCAGTAGCGACTGTAGCGACTGTAGCTCAGCCGGTGCACTCTTTGAATAATAAGGAAATGAGCGCAGCATTGTGATCCGGGCTCCCTCCTGCGGGTACAGGTTACGTACTGAGCTGGAGTGGAGCCGGTTGGACAAATGTGGATTGGTGATGGCAGCTGGAGGTCAAGGCCTGCCTGGAGAAATGAGCTGCAGAGCACTCACGACTCAGGGAGAGGAAGTGGGGGCTGTCAAAAAGAGAGGAAAGAAGACGAGAGAGTCTAATCCAATTGTCTCATGATATTTCTTGCAAGAAAATGTGGAATCTTATTACATTCATTGACATGTTTTAAAGTTGAGGTATATTTTATTGATCCCTGCAGGGGGATTTGTCCTCTACATTTGTCTCATCCTTCAGTGCCTGTAAGGAACTGTGATCGCTATAGTTATATACTGTAGCTATAGCCTCTACAGATGTTGATGCGTGGCTGATTCCGGACTGGAGATGGAAGATTTAACCCTTGGTGCATGTTTTGGCTGATACCGGAGCGCAGTGACGTGCGGTGAGGTTTGTGATTGGGGAGGCACTGACTTTAAAAGTCAGATTTACAATCATTATTCAAATAAAATAGCATTTAATCACCAATGCAATGACATCCACAAACTTTATATACTGTAAAGATAAGAGAACCAGCTTCTTTTAATAATCTCACAACAAATCTAGCTGCTGACTCTGCTCCGCATCAAACAACATCTTTAAGAAGCGCAGGTGCGAGAGACGCGAGGAGAGAGAGACGCGAGGAGAGAGGAGCAGAGAGAGACAGAGAGGAGCAGAGAGACGGAGACGCGAGGAGCAGAGAGAGACGGAGACGCGAGGAGAGAGAGACGCGAGGAGAGAGGAGCAGAGAGAGACAGAGAGGAGGAGCAGAGAGACGGAGACGCGAGGAGCAGAGAGAGACAGAGAGGAGCAGAGAGACGGAGACGCGAGGAGCAGAGAGAGACGGAGACGCGAGGAGAGAGAGACGCGAGGAGAGAGAGACGCGAGGAACATAAACAATAATTTAAACAAGTTGCAGAACTCTTGAGCAGTGTTTGAATCAGTGTTTTTCGGAAAAGCACTACTTTGCCGGTATCTGTCAATGTTCAACATAAAACACAGATTAACAAACTCCTCCCCCGCAGCCGGACTAACCTCGTAAGTCCAGTGGTGGTCTCCCAGTCTATATTAATTCTTTCTTTGTTTGAAAGTCCAATTGATTCATTCAAATCATCCATTTTCCAGCAAAAGAAATAGCATTTTGGGCTGATTGTTTGTTAGCAACTCTGGTATGAACTTTATGCTCACTATCACCCCTAGCGGTGAGGCACAGATACCGCCTGCCTCACGCCAAGCTTTTTCCTTGTGTGTTCATCTACGATCAAAAGACTTAAACTAAATATAAATTGTACACACATACGTGCAATACACTACTAAACACTAAGAGGAGTTTAAAAAATGTTTTTAAAGCAGGATATTTGAAACAAACGGTGATATATCAACTGCACGAGCTGAGTGCACTCAGACACACACACACACACTGTGAGGGAGCGGTCTGGGGTGAGGCACGCAGGAGCGCTGCCTCACCTCGTCTCTTTGAATAGGAATAACGGGATTTCGGCGATTTTGACTTCAGAAATGATCAAAACTGATGGGAACCGTGCCGAATATACATTAAAAGCATAGGACAGTGGATATAAATTATATATTTAAACTAAAATAATTATTAGTTTCCAATAATGGCAGGTGAGGCTCTGCCTCCCCTGCCTCCCCTGACTGCACGTCCCTGCCGGAGCGCCTGGAGGATTCATGAGTGTTATCATGGCGTTAAGACAATATCTAAACCTGTCATATATATTTAATTCAAGATAATCTCTTTCAACTGTATAATTCACGATCAGTAATACATATAAAAATTGACGCAGATGCACCATGCCATAATTAAAAACTTGCATAAGGTGAAATAAAAAAAGTGACAAATATACTAACATCCAATCACACCATTCTCTAAAGAAGCAAAGTGCTGTCTTCAGAGCTCGCTCAAGTCTAGTCTGATTACTTCTATTCATCATCTCCATCACAAGGTGCAAGCTCCAAGGAGTGAACAATCAAAACAAGACTGTCTTTGACCACTTTCCAATCGCAGACAGTCTAGACACCACTCCGCGATGCAGTGTCACATTATTTATATTAATAAAGAAACGAGAGACGTAAAGAAAAACAAGCATTTCTGCGTTGGACATAAATGCATTCCTTTCTAAGCCTTTATCGACATAATAACTCCTGTGTGCAGAGAGGTTTAGAGCAAGGCCACACAAACGATGGCTTTATTGAACCAAGATGAAATATTGTTTATTTAAAGCTATTTTTTTGACCTAACAGCAAATACCTTCAGACCACATAATGCTCTTTTCATCTTATTAGAAAACATACTCTCTTTTGTTTTACTGTGAGCCTTGTGAACCACCATTTTACACTGGGCTGCGAGCTGATTGGCTGATGAGTCTGAAAAATATATATAATAACTATGTGACTGAAGCCAAACATGTGGGTATATGAAAGCCAGCGATAGAACCAACCTGGGCTTTAGAAATGACTTTATTTCCATTTAAATACGTGGTACCCCAGCTTTAAGTAAGTAACTTGAATTCTAACCATGTTGACTATTTTTAACCCTTTAATAGTTTCCTTAACCATTTGGTGGATCATCTTTTTAGTTACTATCTAGACGCTTGGAACTGAAATCTCACTTGCTTTTAGACACTTCAATCTGAAGAGACCAATACAGAAAAATTAATGCATTAAAAATATGTATTTGATTGGCGCATTGACCTCGGCAGTGACACTTGCAGAGGGGAGATCATTAGCAGGGGGTCAAGCACTGGTGGTGGCTATAAACATGGTGTGAATGGGGTGCACGGAGCAGGAGCCAGGGCAGGAGCCAGAGCAGGAACCAGGGCGGGAGCCAAAGCAGGAACCAGGGCAGGAGCCAGAGCAGGAGCCAGGGCAGGAGACAGAGCAGGAGCCAGAGCAGGAGCCAGGGCAGGAGCCAGGGCAGGAGCCAGAGCAGGATCCAGGGCAGGAGCCAGAGCAGGATCCAGGGCAGGAGCCAGAGCAGGAGCCAGAGCAGGAGCCAGGGCAGGAGACAGAGCAGGAGCCAGAGCAGGAGCCAGGGCAGGAGCCAGGGCAGGAGCCAGAGCAGGATCCAGGGCAGGAGCCAGAGCAGGATCCAGGGCAGGAGCCAGAGCAGGAGCCAGGGCAGGAGCCGGGGCAGGAGCCAGAGCTGGATCCAGGGCAGGAGCCAGAGCAGGATCCAGGGCAGGAGCCAGGGCAGGAGCCGGGGCAGGAGCCAGGGCAGGAG